AGTCGATACACATGCGCATGGATCCGTCCTTCTTCTTAACAAAGAGAACGGGTGCTCCCCACGGTGACACGCTCGGTCGGATGAAACCGAGTCGTAACAGCTCCTGAATCTACGCCTTAAGCTCCTGCAACTCCTTAGGCGCCATACGGTACGGGGCTTGGGACACTGGACCGGCCCCTGGAATAAGATCGATAGAGAACTCCACCTGCCGGTTAGGCGGTCCTCCTGGAAGCTCGTCTGGCAACACGTCCACAAACTCACGAACGATTAGAACATCATGAGGTGAGCGTGCTTTCTGAGAATCATCGACAAGGCTCACCAGATAACCCTGGCAGTTGCCTCGTCGCAGTAACTTAGTGGATTTCGCCATCTAAACAACATGAGGCAATGAACGATTCCTGGAGCCGAAGAAAGTGATCGACTCGTCTCCCAGAAGATAGAGAGTAATCTACCGGTCATGACATCTGATATCCGCATGATAGAAGGATAGCCAATCCATTCCGAGAATAAGGTCGAAGTCCCTCATCTCGAGAACAAACGCGTCGGTAGACAATAAACGACCTCCGATGGAAAGACTAAGATCTGAGGCTTTAGCTGAGGTCACTATCTTTCGTCCCGAGGCTAAACTCACCTCGAGAGGATCGACAGCGGTAACGGTATGGACTCCGATGGCATCAAGACATCGTCGTGATATGAATGAATGCGTTGCTCCAGTATCGAACAAAGCGAAAACAGGAATATCATTAAGCACAACCATCCCTGACATAGTACCTGGCTGCTGTGCTGCCTCTGCCTGATCAACCGCATAAACCCGGGCCTGCTGTCTGCCCCTCTGTTGTTGCTGCTGAGGCGGCCTCTACGTCTGCTGACGTGGCTGCTGCTGCTGTGGTGGCTGCGGAGGCTGCTCAGGCTGCTGCTGAAGTCTCTTTGGACAGCGACTCGCAAAATGTCCAGGCTCGTGGCAGTAGTAGCAGATGTCCTTATAACACCCCGCTTTTCCATAAATATCAGAGTGCGTAACTCGCAATTTTATTGAAAACAACATCATTTTTACATTGCGAAATACTGATTCGGAGTGCTACTAAAATACAT